TTGTGTGCGACGGCCTTAAGTTTCTGCCAGCCAGACTTCTCTTCTGCATCAACGATCAAAGAAAGAAAACCATGCATGAGCGTCTCTAATATGCCCCTCGTTCGCGATCGTTCGGAAAGTTGTTGCGTATTTCTCGATAAAAGCACTTCCCGAACGCTCGAGTGAAATGTACTCATTTAGAACGGATTGCACCAGTCGTCAATTAGCGTTAATCGTGGCTAATTTTCCCTGTATACGTTACATGCACGCGGCTGGATCCATGATCTAGCAGGGGATTAGGGAGTATAAGTTAATCAGAGAATGACTAAAGCTAATTAATAAATGCAGATTTTCAAGTTTAAACATCGTCTGAGTACTGCTCTCATCATATATTTTTAAACGTTTAATTAATTTTGTAGCTAAATTTTGTTCACGTATTTATTAAGATTAAGAGCTTTGATAGCGCGTGAAATAAGATGCAATACATATATCCAATCCCATGCTTCCAATCCCATTTATAAAGAATAGTTATAATTAATTGATATTATTTTTGTATTACATACGCGTGAACGAATATCGAGTTGTCTCCACAGAATAATCGTTCGAGGATTCCTGTGAAATCTTTTGGAATTTTAGGAGATAATTTGAGACGGATCATAATTTAATGCTGTCCATGATCGACGGAAGCTATCGATACCGTAATGTTCGGGTACGAACCGGAAGTAAGTATCCACGTGTATCGTGCATCGCGGAGCCGTCAGAGAGAAGGAGAAAGGAGACAAGGGACGGCTTTATACTTTCCTAGCAAGCGACTCAATAAATCGATCACGTAAAAGAAACGTATACGCAATGGTTTTTTTGCATATTCATGCGCGGACATTAGTTTAAACGAATTCATTGGCAGTACCTAATTTGACCTGTTTCATGCGTTAGCATCACATTATAAAGTTTTAGGAAAGCGAAAAACGTAAACGTGATTTTTCATAAGAATTTTCATATAATAATTGTGGATCGCTAACTCCATTTATGAAAACATTAAAAATCGATGCGTGGATCTTTCTTCGGGTTAATTAAAACTATTTGATTAAATTTAAATTTTAATTAAAATCGATGTTAAAAGATTAAAGATTAGAAAATGAGATTATCCTGCAGATTATACAGTCGTTTTGAAATGTATAATGTTTAATTGAATCAGCATTGTAGGAAGACAATGAGTCAACTTTTCTATGAAAATGATTTCTCATTTTCACATTCGAAAAGATACTTTTGTATGTTACACACGTCTTGTAACAGAACGACCGACTCGATCTGACGGTATACGTTCTCTTCAGCGAAAAAAGTAATTCTGGACCCGTTACAAATCATTACGAGGCGTTTTCCTCGCATCGTCGTCATCGCTGACGACAACGATCCCCCTTCCTCGATGAGAAAGCTCAATAAAAAGCACCGGGTGGCGAACACGATCTCACCGCATCTAAAATCACCCGACGGTCCTCGTGATTGTATTAATTCACTTGACGGAATACAGAATACGGGACGCAGGGTGTATACAGATGCCGCGGGAGTTCGCGTGTGGATGTATTGTCTTCTCGGCTCCTTTCTCGCATTAGCATAAGAATTCAGCGTGTGCCTGATGCGCCTATCAATCGGATCCCTCCTCCCCCCTCCCCCTCCCCGCCTCTTTGTCCCCCTCGCCCTCTCTTCCTTCTCCCTCCCCCCGCTGATGAATCAAGACTTAAATCTTGCACCATGATCAACCGGACAGTCCGAATGTCGAAACGTCGTCATCATCGATCGAAATCTGAAACACGTTGGCCCGTAAAACCGACAACTTTGGCCTCAAATGGCCGACACCTCGGAAAGTACAACGGCATTGCGACACGCGAGGATTGATCTTATCACGGTTGGGACTCTTAATGGTCGCATTAACCGACAAGATTTTACCGGAATGGAATATCAGCGTCGCAGAGATGTGCGAGCAAGACTTGCGACGTATACGCAGAACGTTATTTATCTGTGACTTCATTAGAGAGTGACGAGCGCGCGGCCTGCGATCATTTTTCAACCGTAAAACATTATAGAATTTTAAGGGCGAGCTAACTTTAAAAAAATCTGCTGTGCTTCTTATTTATATTTTATCACTTTTCATTCGTATTTATTTTAGTCTCATTTATTTTTTTTACTCCCTCTTTCAGATGGCAAGCGTATAGCATTAAATAAGTATAAGATAGCATGATATATTAAAATAAATCTCCACTATGTGATACACAAAGAATATTACACACAAGACGTAAATTAATCAGCATAAATTTTTCGGAACAGTATATGATAATTTTCCTTCGTTGCACGAAACGTTCACGTGACGTGCTCTTACCTAAATTAAGAGTCGAGGCTTAAAGAGTCGAGAGAGGGTCGGAATCGCGTTTCGGCCGCGCCGAATGCGCGTCGCGAAGTCGAAGTGAGGAACGAAAAGATCGACGATCCGGTGGCTCCAGTCCCAAGAACAGAAATTGTTACGTGCTCGCCCCGGCAGCGTGATCCGAATGCTCATGCGAGTGGCGATCGGCCGCGGTCATCCAGAGCCGAGAGGAGAGACTCAGCCGAGAGTCCCGTAGCGTTACTCAAGCGCGGAGGAGCTTTCTTCGACGGACGCGCACACGCACGTACGTACACGCACGCGTGAACAGTGCCGTATAGCCGTGGCGAGCGAACGGTAAAAAAAATATCCCGAAAAATATTACATATTATTACAAATCGGCAACGTGAATTAATAATTACATTCAATAGAGAAATATAACGGATAATAACGATAGGAAAAAATATATCTGATAAGTGGTAATTTATCTCGCGCGCGTGATTACCATTCTCAACGTCTTATTGAGAATTTTGTCGAGATAAGCAAATCTTTGTTGCGTTACAGCGGCTGCTTGTCGCGGAGTTTTATGTGAATTACGTTACAGCCCGATTTTGCATTCGAGATCGTTTTAAGTACGGATCTCGAGACGCTGTATACAGTCATTCCATTGGTTAGATGGAGTTTTAAGACTGCTCATGACCAGACTCGAGACGATCTTGAATGTAGGATCGAAATATATCTCGGAATACCGCCCTTACGAGTTTTATATGAATTTTTTTCACGAAGATTCTTCAAACTCCGTAGAGGAAGGCGATTTCGTGTCCGGGGCGCGAAAGTGGCTAATCACGTCGCTACGCACGTCAAAAGGCGATTGTCCGTCCACGCGGAAGCAGAGAGCCCACGGCTCTCTGCATCTATCCCTCGATCACCTCTCGCTCGCAGGACACGTACTCGTCGTGTCCCCGTACACGTCCTCGCGTGTACGACGCGCGCGGTATGTATCGCCGCGCCGCGCCGCGCCGGTGCGTGTACGCGTCGTCTGCTCGGTGTACATCGCTACGGCTGGCCACGAACGCGCACGGTGCGTGATGCCGAAACGGCCGGCCGGGATGTCGGACGGGAATCTGCGCGCCGGCGATATCGAGGGCAGGCTTTCGCGAAGAATTTAAAGAGCAGATTGATCGTAATCTCCGGCACGCCCTAGGTCTTCTCGAACGCGCCTGCTTTCGATCGAGCTGCTTCCAGGCTTATCCTCAAATTGTTCGAATATCAAAATCGAATATCAAAACTCTATCAATAAAATCGGCATTAGAGAATGATTTGTTCCCATTTTTATTACGATTTCTCTCAATAAAAATAATATATCTTATTCGTATTTTATTTCAATAAAGCAGAAAGTTAATATTATATATAATTAAGAATATATAGATAAATATCGAGATAATTTTTTAAATATTAATTTTTAGAAATATTTTATTCGCGCGTTGTAATGATTTTGGTTTTGCTTATGCATATATTTTTATTTAAGAAAAACTTTTAAGAATGCAAGATGTAGAATTTTTAGTTTTTGAAAAATTCATTGTTTAACAAATTTCAATTATACGATTTTGCATTTTTTTAATAACTTTCTTAGATTTCTTTATACTTATTTATTTTATTCTATTTACCGCCACAATAACAGTGGAAAGAAGGAAATTAATAAAGATATCTATAACATATCATAAAGCAAATGGTCGTAAATTGTACATCGGTTATTGATTATCGTTTTATTTCTATTATTTTTCTCATTTGATACTAATAATTTCACTTATACAGCGATTATGTGATCAAATATATATTTTTTTAACACAGGTTTAGATGGTTTTGACAAACAATATGTTTAAGATAAGTGGAGTTTCACGGGTACGAATGAACTATTCATCGCAAGGTGTCATATACGCTGAAGTGTACAACGTATGTCCTTTCGCTTAATGCATGGGTATTTAATGCGTTCTACTCACCAAACAGGTAGACGTTTTTATGAATGCGACTGGCATTGCCTGTGGGTGAGACCGCCGAATATGGATGGCAGCCGAAGATGACCGGGAGCGATGAGACTGCTTAGCGAATAAGGACGTGACGTATCCGCAGCTTGACCTATAAGGCAAACGGATTTGCTGTTAATAGTCAATATGCATTAGACAAACAATGAGCGGATCTGCAGGCCGCACACGATGCCGACAGTCTTTTCTGCGACGTTGCAGAGATTTTAAGCGGCGAAAGCTACATAATTTACAGTTATAAACGTTGTTGGAAACTGCTTGATGTAACAAAATTTATTTCTATACATTTCTTAATTTGTAAATCTTAATGTCAAATGAAACAAAATATCTGATAAATACAATATTTAATGCTTTTATTTAAGAAAAAGGTTAAATATGATCTAGATATAAAAATAACAAATACAATTAAAGTACGAATGCAATACGCAAAAGTGAAAGAAAAGGCAGTAAATTGCAATACTTGCTACAATATATAATTTTGCGTAAATAAAAATATAATATTTTTATTTTACACATTCATAACTAAGATATAATAAATATAAATCAAGAAAAAAATATATATGTTGGATAAAGAGAAAAAAAGAGACAATGAGAGAGAAGAGACTTAAATGACTGAAGTTAAATGATTATCGTTTGCTTCGTCTTTTATTCGTGCCATTGAACTTTCAGACAAATTATGGATGACACATTTGTAATAATTTATAACCAAACAAATAGCTAATATTAAAGCAGTTAATGCAATAATAACTAAGAAAATTTTTGGGAAATTTAACAGCAAATTCAAATTAATTATGATTCTCGACTCGGGAACATCGAATTCAGATACAAAAATTAAAGATGATCATAAGATAAGAAACTCCAAGGTAAATATATAATTAGCTTTCCATCGATCTTAATTAAACAAGTGGTTAGTTCTCTTAGTCCTGACACCATTTATTATTATTTTCCGAAAATTTGTATCTTTTATCATTTAATCAAAATAATTTTAATTAAAATAATTACTGTAAGAATACAAAAAAATAATCTATATATTTTTGGCATTTAGTTTAAACAATTAATTAATAATTATTGATTGTTTGACAATTAATATATATTTCTTATATATTTATTTCAGCTCAAGATGTTATATTTAGGCATAATGTGCTTTGCTACCAACTGCCTAAGCTCAATCGTTCTGGAAGCTGGCTCACGCAGTGCATTTCGTTCTATTTCGCCAACAAGATCTGTGGTTTTTAATCATTTATTCCGCCGAAACTACAGTAACTAAGCTTTAGTCTCACACGATTAATTAAACGTGAGCACGGTAACGCGTAGAAAATAATTCCTTGTTGTTAACGCAGATTTGAGGATTAAGATAATGATAGGTGACGTGCTTGCAGCATTGGTATCAACAATAATGCTAACGATCGGCGACATATACGGAATTCCGTATCTTTATTTGCCGTGGCTTGTCAACACTATCGAAGGAATGGCTATTCACGAAGGACCAGCTCTTTTCGGATTGGCATATACCGTGTTACCGAACGTTAATTTGTCCACGGGATTATTTATGCTTATAACACTGCTTTTATATGGTAAGATAGTTAAAAGTGTAACTGAGATTAAAGAGATATTTATTCATAAATATGACAAAAATTATTTAATTTTTTTATTTTTAAATGCTTCATAAAATTAAAAAATTGTAATTCAATATTAATGTAACATACTTTTTGGCAAAAAGTATAAAATATATAAAATACTTCGAATATTTTTCCATTATGATAATATCAGGTTAATAAATTTAAAAAATAATTTACTGATTTAAACTTACAATTTATAATTGAGTCAAATAATTCAGTAATTGTTTTTGAATTTTATTTCTTAGTGGAAGAGCTGTGTATCTGGAGAGACGTTTTTATGAATTTCGAACATTGCTGGACAAAATATAATAAAAATAACAAATTGAAGGAGGAGACAAAATTGACAAGGACGGCAAATAAAGAAGAATTATGCAACGAGGTTAAAGAAAGCCTTGACGAAAGTGTAGAAATTATATCACGAAAATCAACGACAGATCAGCAAGATCCAATTCATTTTAATGAACTTAATGATCATGATATTATTGAGCTTGCAAAAACTATGGAAAACAATGTATCGATTAAAAATTGTCATAGCAAAAACCCGTTTACGGAGGTGACTGGTTAGAAATAACTCAACATTTTTTAAATGTAAATCTAATCATAATTCTCAACTCAAAAATAGATTCAGATATAATTTTATCAAAGTCAGATATAAAAATTAAAGATAACGATTATAAAATTAAAAACATTCCATAATAAATATAAAATTAATTTAATAATGCATTAATATCGGCGTATCATTAAATTATTTTTAGTTTTCTTCGCTCGACTTTTATAATAAAATAATAACTGTAAAATGCAAAAGTTAAAAAATTAATAAATGTTTACAAAAAAGAATATAATAATGCTGTAATAGTGCAATTAAAATTGTATTTTATATGCACATATAACCGTCAATTAGCTCAAATCATAGCAGCTTTATTTTGAGTCCAATTTCTGTATTTTATTATATATGTATAATTTATTAAAATATACTATTTTGTCTTCACAAAAACATAATCGTAATTGAATGAAAGTAAAAATCCTGAAATATAATGCAAATTTATTGCAAATGTATGATTAATCAAATTTTTACATTTGTTTCTTTCTTTTTTCAGTATTGCATCGTATTTTATTATATTATTTTCTTTCTTTCATTACTCTCTGGCCTTTTCTTGAAGTAATTAAAAAATGTACAGAATATAAATTTCGTATGTGGCATACATATATGTACAGCAACGACCTCTCTACTCGCAATATGTACGTCGTTTCACGCGACTACATCAAGAATATCGTAGGAAAGCGACTCGATAAGAGGGAAAATAGAGATGATTGTTACAACATACCGATGAATCGTTGCAACAACCGTCCGTCCAATGATTCACACGGCACTCCCGATACCCGATTCACGTATAACATTTCGTACGTCACGATTACCGTTAAAACGGCTGATTGTGAGATCCTCGGGAAATCCGAACGCGTATCGCTGATTAGAAGAATTCTGTTTTCCAGACATAACTATAGGAAATATTACCTCGGATATATATTGTCTTCGAGATCGAATTGTTAAGAAAGAGGTTTCCTAATCAATTTCAACGCCGATCATGACTACCGTGGGAGCACGAGACCGCGAGGAGCAACACGTTGACGCTGGAGCTGGACAACGCGCGTCGCGGACAACGATGATCGCGACGATCAATCGACGATTTGCGAGCGAGCGGATATTAATTAACGACACGGCGTTGCGACGCGCGCACTCGACTTCCGCCGTTTGGCCGGCACGCGCCGGCTCGAGTATGTATCCTTTTTTTTATTACTTTTTACGCGAGTTCGTGTACGTAATAAACATACCAAACGCGGGACGATCTCGCTGCATGCGCGACTCCGAGAATACGCAGCGGCAATAAACGTGCCGCGCATGCGCGCGCCGTACTTCTGTTACGACTGTACTCGTCGCCCTATAACTGCGCTTTCGCCAATGAATTTACCCGACGATCCGTTTGACAGTCCCATGTTCGACAGTGCGTCCAAGAGCGTGTTTTACAGCCGTATTGTAGGAGTACAATTTTTATCCGTCGCGCGATTTATTTTTTCAACGCAAAGTGAGTCCCTCGCTTCGAACTCGCCACGCCGCGGCGCGAAACGAACAGCGCGTTTGCGCAAGCGCACGGAGATTGGGATTGAAGACCCTAGAGTAAAAGAATCTGGAGATTGTAGCGCAATAGAAAAAAAAAAGAGAAAATAAAGCCATTGCACTGCAAGTGTTTATGCACGTCCCAACGTTACTGAAATATAAAATTGAAGTAAAAACAGATGCTGAAAAAATACTATTAAAGTGCCAGTCTGCAAATACAAAGTATCTAAATAAAACTAAAGATATTAAATTCAACATGAGAATTAAGTAATTTAATTATTTGTCGACAATTTGAATACGTTTTTATTATCAATTTATATATTTTTTATTATCATAATGAAATAATAATTAATACCAAATACATTTTGCAATATCGACGGTCAAGTATTTATCGGATGCGTGTATTTGGAGATTCCTTCCTATTCAACTCCCTAGATGGCGCACTTGCAGTAAAGGCTTCATCACTTCAATCATTTTTTCTATGTATTTTCTGCGCTATGGTGATTCTCAATTGAGTAAAAAGAAAGACAGCAACAGGAGGGAATGTATCGATAGGCTGATCCGCGAACGGAACTACGTCATGGCAGCCATCTTGACTGGCCACTATTGTCTATGATTGGCTCCCTTTGAACGGCCATCTTGACCGACCGCTTTTGTATATAGTCACTTCCGTGCGCTTGCTCAGAGCCATACACTCCCTCCTGTGCTTTCAGTCTTTACTCTTTTTTTACTCAATGACGCTACGGTGATTCTTCGATGTGTCTTGTTTTTTGGTTATTTCGCTGGAAATTATTTTACATATTTCCTAAGATCATATATACCGTACGTGAATTTTGAAATTTGCATATTCGTACGGCGCGTTTCAACCAATTGCTTGCTCACGAATGCGAGAGCTATGATCTCGTGATAAAAACGCCATTTTCTTTACGCCTTTGGCAATCGTTTAGGTTAGTATGATTGTTCGAGATGTTTTTTTATTTTTAAAAATTATGCATTACGTCCTTTTAAGATTCTAAATATAATAATCTATTTGTTATACATTCAATTTTATAAATGCTCCAACGTATGTAGTCCGTTTATTCAATAATTCTTAAAATGTGTGTGATTCGTCTGTTTTCAGAAAATAACACTATATTCTATTGATATTCGGCTAAATATATCAAAAGAGAAATGTCAGACGATCCGAGTTTGTACAGATTAGAGGGGACGATAGGAGATCAAGCGGGTGGTCTGATCGTACGTAAGAAAGCTTCGGACCACACTTTCAAGAAACCCTCCGTACTAGGCCTCGACAAGCTCGCCGAACGAAAGAGAAAGGAGCAGTCGCAGGAGCCCGCCGGCTCGAAGTTCAGCAAATCCGAAGGGAGGGACAGGCGATACCGATCCTACGAGGAGGAGACCCCTACTCACACCGGCGGTGTCAATTCTGAGGCGCAACAGAGATTGGAGTCGCGACTCAAGCGTCAGCGATTAGGCGCGGACGATAGGTACTCGAGGAATTCGTACAAGGATCGCGAGCGGGACAGAGACAGGCGGAGAGATCGGGACAGGGAGAGTCGTGGCAGGGACAGCAGCGCGAGGCAGACGCCACTCAGATTCAGAGACGAGCCGCAAACGCCGAAATTTCGGACGAAGGATCCGACCTCCAAGAGCAATTGGGACGACGACGAGGACGAGGAGCCGAAACGCTCGAGCTGGGACCATCCGACGCCGAATCTTTACAGCAGCCGGGACGGTCGCGACAGCATCAGAAGCGAATTCACTCCTTCCTACAAGTACAACTCGTGGAACAAGGACTTCAAGAGCTCCGGCGCCACGCCGATGATAGACGGGGAGGAGAAGGAGCTGTGGGAGGAGGAGCAGCAACGACTGGACAGAGAGTGGTACGCGTTGGACGACGGCGAGAACAACGCTTTCGCCAATGTGTCCGAGGAGTACACGCAGAAGAAGGAGATGGAGCTGGAAGCCAAGCGACAGAAACGCCTCTCCGCCCAGCAACGACAGATAAACAAGGACAACGAATTGTGGGAGCGTAACCGCATGCTAACGTCCGGAGTCGTGAGCTCGCTGGACCACGACGACGATCCCGACGACGAGGGAGAGGCGAGAGTTCACCTGCTGGTTCACAACGTGGTCCCGCCGTTCCTGGACGGACGCATCGTGTTCACGAAGCAGCCGGAGCCGGTCGTGCCCGTGCGCGACCCCACCTCCGACATGGCCCTGGTGGCGAGGAAGGGCTCGGCGCTGGTCAAGGCGTACCGCGAGCAAAAGGAGAGACGTAGGGCGCAGAAGAAGCATTGGGAGCTGGCCGGTACGCACATCGGCAACATCATGGGTGTGCACGATCGGCGTAAGGACGACAAGGAGCACACCGGGCAAGAAACGGACTTCAAGGCTGGGCAAAAATACGCTCGGCACATAGGGTCGGGGGAGGTAACCGGGGAGGCTAGGCACAGGTCCATACAGCATCAGAGGAGGACTCTTCCTGTATTCGCGGTACGACAGGAGCTGCTGAACGTCATCCGGGAGAACAGCGTCGTTGTAATAGTAGGCGAGACCGGTAGCGGCAAAACCACGCAACTCACGCAGTATCTTCACGAGGACGGCTACAGTCGCTACGGCATGATTGGTTGCACCCAGCCTAGGAGGGTCGCCGCGATGTCCGTCGCGAAAAGGGTGTCCGACGAGATGGCTACTGCTCTAGGCGACAAGGTCGGATATGCGATACGTTTCGAAGATTGCACTTCGAAGGATGTAAGTAAACAATAATTTAAATATAATTTTAACATCTTGTATACTTTGTCGTAAAATTCTGATCTGTGTTCGACGTGTAAATTTTATGTTTTACAGACGGTCATCAAATATATGACCGACGGTATTTTACTGAGAGAAAGTTTGAGGGAGGGAGATTTGGATCGTTACAGCGTGATTATAATGGACGAAGCTCATGAACGATCACTTTCCACCGACGTGTTGTTTGGCCTTCTTAGAGAGGTACAGAGAGATCGCATCTTTTATCTTACATATTCGAATATTTCCATACCGTGCAGTCTTCCTAATTTAGAAATGTTTACAGGTTGTCGCCAGACGGCATGATCTAAAGTTAATCGTCACGTCCGCAACGATGGATTCCAGCAAGTTCTCCGCTTTCTTCGGCAACGCGGCGACATTCCAAATACCCGGACGCACGTTCCCCGTCGAGGTGCTGCACGCGAAGAATCCGGTCGAGGATTACGTGGACGCGGCTGTGAAGCAGGTCTTGCAAATTCACCTGCAGCCCAAAAGCGGCGACGTATTGGTCTTTATGCCCGGTCAGGAGGACATCGAGGTCACTTGCGAAGCTCTGAAGGAGCGTTTAGCCGAAATCGAATCGGCCCCGCCTCTCTCCATACTGCCGATTTATTCCCAACTGCCGTCGGACTTGCAGGCGAAGATCTTCCAACGATCCGAGGGTGGTCTCCGTAAATGCGTCGTCGCGACCAATATAGCGGAAACGTCGCTGACAGTCGACGGTATCGTCTTCGTCGTCGATTCGGGATACTGCAAATTGAAAGTGTACAATCCTCGAATAGGTATGGACGCTCTGCAAGTGTATCCCGTGTCGAGAGCAAACGCCGATCAGAGGCAGGGCAGAGCCGGTCGTACCGGTCCCGGTCAGTGCTTCAGATTGTACACGCGAAGACAATACTTGGACGAATTACTACTCACAGGCGTTCCCGAGATACAACGCACGAATTTAGCTAACACGGTACTGCTGCTGAAATCGCTAGGAGTCCAAGACTTGTTGGCGTTCCATTTCATGGATCCACCGCCGCAAGATAATATACTGAACTCGTTGTATCAGCTGTGGATCCTGGGGGCGCTTGACAATACCGGACGCTTGACCCCCCTGGGACGACAAATGGCCGAGTTTCCGTTGGATCCACCGCAATGTCAGATGCTCATAGTCGCTTCTCGTCTCGGCTGTACCGCGGACATTCTCATTATCGTCTCCATGCTATCGGTACCGTCGATCTTCTATCGGCCGAAGGGACGCGAGGAAGATTCAGATTCAGCACGCGAGAAGTTTCAGGTACCGGAGTCGGATCATCTGACGTACTTGAACGTGTACAATCAGTGGAAGGCGAACGGTTATTCGAGTTCCTGGTGTAACGACCACTTCATACACGCGAAGGCGATGCGCAAGGTGCGGGAGGTACGGTCGCAGCTCGAGGAGATTCTGAAGCAGCAGAAGATGGATGTCGTTAGCTGTGGCACCGACTGGGACATCGTACGGAAATGCATCTGCTCCGCCTACTTTCACCAAGCGGCGCGCTTGAAGGGCATTGGCGAGTACGTCAATTGCCGCACCGGAATGCCTTGTCATCTCCATCCCACCTCCGCGCTATTCGGCATGGGCTTCACACCTGACTACGTCGTGTACCACGAGCTCGTGATGACCGCCAAGGAATACATGCAGTGCGTCACCGCGGTGGACGGCCACTGGTTGGCTGAATTGGGCCCAATGTTCTTCAGCGTGAAGGAGACTGGCCGGAGCGGTCGTGCGAAGCGACGGCAGGCGATGCAACACCTCCACGAGATGGAGCATCAAATGAAGGAGGCCGAGGAGGAGATGAAGGCGCGCGCTCAGGAGCAGCTCGAGCGAGAACAGGCGTCAGTCCGAAAGAAGGAGATTTTAACGCCTGGTATTAGGGAACCGGGTACCCCTGCCCCGTATCGTAATACACCCGGAAGATTAGGGTTATAATCGTATTTTTTTATGTATAATGTCTTAAATTAGCAAATTTATTTAATGAAACAGACATTTATTCCTAATAGAGTTCTGTAATATAGAGAAGTTGCTATTGTAAATAGTATAACGGAAAAAAAACAGCAAAAAATAGCATAATTTGACAATTAATCGCTAACTGTAGCGTTACTGATCAAATTTATAATCTTAATGATCTCTGGATTTTTTTATTGAATTTCTGTCTTTCTTGCAGCACAAACAATACAATAATTACAATGTACAATTACATTATAGTATTTACTTTTTTAGATTAGGTAATAATTTAATTTGACTGTAAAAATAAATATATATGTGATAATTAAAATTTTTTAGACGATTATTAATATTGTATAAAATTATATATACTATATGTATAAACTATCGTTGAATGTGATATGTATAAGATATTTTGTAAATAAAATTATTTTTATTGTAATATCGACAAAATGTTTTTAGTCATACCTGTAGTCATTTACTCATAGATAAATTTTGGTGCTTATCTAATGGGCCGTAGATGTAAAAAGCGTTAGTCCAATCGATGATTGATCATAACATTAATGTGGACATTATTAGGCACGCATAAACTTTAAACGTTCAAAAATTGATGTATGTTTATCAATGTACACATTAACGATACAATCGACAGTATATTATTTTTTTTATACTTTAACTGAAATAATTACGCAAGTAAAATAAATACGTAACTTTCTGCACTCGTATTAGCAATTTATTCCTTTCCACTTTCCAAGCAATTTATCATTTTTTACCGATTTTATCGGATTATTTAACAATTGATAACCAATTACCTAATAATAAATTTATTAATATATATAATTATGGAAAAGAAACAATATGTATGTCACAGATTGTTACAAAATATAATTAAATGCTATTCATGAGCATCATTCCTTAAAATGTCTACGAAAATAATGCATAAAATACACGATGTTGATCTATGCGCGAAACGACAGACTTTTTGCGATATATAATATATAAAATAACTTTATTTTTTTAAGGAAAAAAAAATGGCACATAGAAGTAGATAGACCGTGTTATAAATCGATAAATTTAATGCCTTCTTTAATTCTAAAAATTTTAGAAATTTTAGAAGTATTATTATCGTTTCAATTTTTACATTTGTTCCTTGATTTCAATAATGTATCATCAGTAAGCTGATCAAATGGCAGTGTATTGAAATGACTGCACAGTATTTTTCATAAAAATGAAGGTATAGGCTCAGGTATTTTAATCAGCATTAAACCATTCATTCATTCATTTATAATTGAATTGGGGCTAAGAATTATGTACAGAACTCTCAAGTTATTTTTTGAAAATTATGAAAAGTAGACGGATATAGATGTTCTTTGTACAAATACTGTCGAACAGTTTCAGCTCTTTAAATTACTTAAAAGCCTTAATATGGACTGGGTGCGTGATTTGAGGGATCTGCAACTCTGCCGGAGACTCGCTTGCCCGCGATTCGTAATGGTGGCACATACATCGTCTTTCTCATCCAATCCCGTGTGTAACTCGTATTTTTCGAATTCTGTTAGGACCGCATCTAAATTTTCCACTCTTTCTGATAGTAATACAGCTACTTCTCTCCAAGTCTAGAATACAATAAATAATCGCGATAAAAATTACATTATATCGAAATTATAAATACGTATAGAATTAATATTTTACAAAGTAGTATAACAAAAATAATCATTTATGATTGCGAAATTATCAATAAGAAAAAAATTACCTTGGTCTCATTGGTCTCGTTTATCATGTTTGACACAATTTTCTTATTATACTTCTTCTTATTTTTCTTTTGCGATTCTGCGCGTGGTTCCGATTGTGTCGCACATGCGCTACATATAGCGCTAATAATCGCTAAAGATTCGCTACAAGTTGAGGCTCTGAGTAAGAAGTTTTTGAAGGACACCGGCACATCTCGTTCAGGGATAGGTAACGTCTGCAAGCAAGGGGTCGTTCGCAGCATCTGTATGCAATCGTAGTCCGGACAATGAGAGTGAGTGAGTGATTTTGCAAGGCACGCTATAGTCCTTAATTGCTCAGAATGATAAGCTTCGCGTAATCGTTCGACAGCATCAAGCGGAACCAATATTTTACATGGTCTGTTCCGTTTTCCATCCGTGTCAAATTTTTGCAATATACTCGGTACACTTTCTTCCGCTAGCTCCTTAAGCTCAGCGGACAATTGAGAAAGATACATAGAAGACGATGCGACACTCGCCGCCAGGATGCGCAATATGGCATTTCTCGCCGAGAGTAATTTTAACATACACATGCGTGTCTCTTCCTGCATTCTCGGATCCTCCTCGCTTTGATTAATTGGTTCCCATCCGCGAACGACCTGTTTAACAGAATAATTTATTCAACTCAACAATGATATTAAATCAGAACTTCATTTCGTCGTATTGTTGTCGCAATATTCTCAAAAATACTTACCACCAAATCACGATTATCTCGCAAATGTGCCCATCTAATGGAATCGAGATGAGGTTGAATATGCATATTGTTCAAAGTAGAGAATAAAGAAGCAGTGCTGTCGCACCAACACAAATCGAGCAGCATTTTATCCACAGTTGTCATAGCGAAGTGAAACGAATTTTCTAGGCGTTCTCTCAACTCCACAAAATCTTGAATTTTTATAAAACTGCCGTATTTGTAAGCGAGTGTTAAGTGATCCGCGCTCTAAAAGAGAATCATAAAGGCCATGAGTTAAGCATAAACGGTCTTACTTATTCTCTTTAATTTTAGTATGCTTGAAAACACATACATCCTTATAGTTGGCTATGAAAAATTTCACTGTATGATCAAGAGTTGTCGAGGCCAGAGGCAAGTTACCGAGAGGCGCGAGAAGTGGCGCGTGGAGATGACCCAGTGAGTCTAGTTGAAGGTGTTTTACATCGAGCAATGCGAACGCATGATCAGCCGCGACCACTAGACCAGCTTCCAAATAAATACGCACAAGCAAAATTTTGATGTGAAAATTTACAGGACTCGATAGAAGACCGTGTTCCAATAATGACATTGCCCTGTAAATCCATTGTTTTAAAAAATGTGCATGTTTTCAAAAATAGTCATTAGCACCTTTTCATCAATATCAATTAGCTTTGTTGTCTCATGTATCATAGGAAAATACGTTATATTATTACCTATAAAGAAAAGACGCGTCACTAGTGTCGATCCACAATTGGTGCAACAAATGCGTGGCCAATAGGATATATGGATCCGCCGGGCAGAAATCAGTTGGCAATCTATCCTGCATTGGACACAATTCGTTGCCTTTTTCGTACAAATCGCACAGTCGCTTCATCAATTGCTCCTGTTTGTCTCTGTCTGCTAAGGGAGAATGGTGGAAGCCACAAATACGCCGCAATTGCTCCAAATGTATGTGCCTTTGCATTTGTTGTACTGTAGTTGGAAACTCATTCGGCGCGACACCAATATCTTCCTCAATCTATATCATAAATAAATAAATTAAACAGTTGCAATAATCATTTTAATACTATTGGAATAAAAAAACATACATATTAAATATATATTACCTCGTTTATATTTAAATTAACATAGATATTAAATAATAAGAGATTAATTTTATTGCAAGACAAAATAACTTTATCCCTTTATTCTAAAAATACATTTCTAAGTTTTTTCTTCTTACCTTTTCAAATAATTCTACCTTCGACTTGGGTGTAAGTAGATTTAGATACAATCGCAAATCTCCAACCACACATCCTTTCTCTCCAAATTGAGAAAAGTATTGATGCATAAAATTCATGGCGGTCATACTATATTGTAGATCCTCGGTCTGGCATCGTTTTAATAATTCTAGACGGGCCAAATACGGCGCGCGAATTTTCTTCTCTGACATATTGATAATATGGTTGAAAAAGTCCAAACATTCTGTCAGACGTTGAAACTTTAAAGCCGCCGAAAGATAATTTTGATAAAATGCCCAATTATCAATGCTATAAAATAAAAATAAATATAAAAATGCAGGTATAAAATTATTTATATCAAAATGCCATAAACACGTAAAATAGTGAAAAAGAATATTAACAAGATTGGTCTTACTTCTCTTCAATAAGTGCGCGATATGCGTTAGCCGCTTCAGGAAAACATTCTAGCTTCAATAAACAAGTAGCCTTTCGATGAGGTACATATGAGACATATGAAGCTAAAGGACTAGACAGTACATTTAATATTTCCTCATTCTTGTCCTGCAATTCCAATATCATCAGATAAAGTTGCACTTCCTGTTCCGCTTCTATTTTTCCCTCCCTTACTAGTTTTAGGACCTGATGTATTCATAGAAAAAAAAACAAATTATTTCAGTCATCTCTGCAATATTCATTTGTATGTACAAATTTAAAAAAAACTCTATAATTCCACAAACACATGCAATTAATTATATAGCAATGGTAAGTAACAATCAGGGTACCAACCATTCTTTCTGCCAAAGGCAAGATAACTCCTTTCGCCAGCTTCTGATCAGAATGATGAATAGCTTGCATCACTATACTCATAACACTCCAGAAATAATATGGATTTTTCCGAGTAAGTTTATACAAGTTAAGAGCGGTTTGCTGTTGTTTCTTATAATGGCCAAGTCGCACGTACGACATGAAGAGGTGCGTTAGGAGCTCTTCGTTGTTTGGATCAGCCTTCGCAGCAGCTTCGTAGAGCTCGCTGACTTTGTCCGCTGCGTGGGTAAATTTACAATCAACATAATCGTATAGATTCAAGTGCAAACTACGTGTATCAAGGCAGAAAGCGCGAGAACTCACGTTGATGTATCTCTCTGTAACAGATGCTCATCGCCTGCAGAGTGGAGTCCTCGCAGGGCACCTCGGAGCGCACCTTGTCCATAATGACCTGACATTCATTCTCCTTGCCCATACGCAGCAGGGCCAGGGCCTTGAGCACCCTGGCGCATTGGTTGGTCGGGTGCTTCTTGAGCACCTTGTCCGCCTCCTGGAGGGCCTTCTTGTTATTCCCATTGTCCAGCCAGTCTGAAAAGCCAGAGAGAAGAGCCTCGTACCGAGTGCCGTTATATAACCTCGTCCCCGGAGCCACGACCGCGGCCCGCCGGGAGTGTCGCGGGACGGGCCCGACGGTCGTGTCCTCGACGCCGGACATACGTACCGTAAATCGGTCGCAGGCGACGTTCGTTCACCGTGTTGTCCACATGGCCCTTGGACGCCATGATACTTTTTGCGGTAGCATAAAATCAACAAACCAGAGACACGCACGAGCCCCGATCACCTCGACGCATCTTCGACGATCGCGAATACGATTCCCGCGATTTACCGTCGACACCCTCGCGCGCGCACACCTCGCGTGCCGGGTCGGGCCACGACGCGACGGGAGCCGCGCTATTGCACAAAAATATTTTTATTCTTATCCCGCTCGTCGGAACAGAATCGCGGAGGCGAAGAGAACACGACCGGGCCGGCCTGCCGCGAGGTCTCTACTTGGTGAACCAGTGAACGAAGTAACCGAGGTGGAAGGGACGTAGCGAACCTGACTGGCTGCTCCAATCGAGCATACTTCACCCTGTAACATGTTTGGGGTCCGTTCGTGTTATATGCGTTACTTGCATTTTTTTTTGTATATACACACAGATTCCTCGCTCTTTCTCTTTCTAATACCCGATTCGTATTCATTTCTTTTCAAATATACGAAGTATGTATTAGAAAATGCAAAAAAAAAAAAAAATCTTTCGTCTTGCAAAATTAAATATTCGATTAAATCATTAAAAGATTCACATATATCATTTATTGACGGGTGCGTTCTGAAAAATGCATACCGACAGTACCAAAAATTTCTATAGTTCACGTTACGTGTTCTATAGATTACTGTCTGTACGTACATTTCGGACATACATATTCTAAAATGCTTTGCATTTAGCGGCACAAATTGACACAAAGTATCATTCTATCTTCGTTATCACTGAATGTTGAAAAAGACAGGCTGACGCTTATATCGATTTTTGTCGCTAAATGGAAAGCATCTCAAATTTATGATAAATAAGTGAAGATTTGAGAATTGTAGGCTGCGGATTAAACTTTAATCAATTACAATACGAATTAAAATTAAAAAATTATCTAACTCAACTATAAATGCATTCCGTTTCGCGTGTGATACGCATAATGCATCATTTATTCTCGTTTAACATTATTTAATAATATAAAATAATAGAATAATAAAAAAATTAATATAATAATACAATAAAAAGAAGGTAACTTTTCATGTGAACGCTCATTTTTAGCATCAAAATAGATCACCTGATCAAAATTGACGCTTGTTATTCGTTAATTTTGACCGCGTCTTGTTTTGATGATGCTAAAAATGAGCGTTGAACATCCACATGAAAGGATACCTTATTAATTGCATCGTGCCGCCGGGCAAAAGAGAAGAATAAACCCCTAGTTATTTTTTGATCTACAGGTAGAAGAAGTGAAATCACTAAACCGAGTTTCTAACCTAACCTACACTTTGCGCGCGTGTTCAGAGTGTTCCGACTTCAGAGCTTACAGAGTTCAGACTTTCAAGACTAATCAGACTCGCTCATTTAGTCTTCCACTGGGTTTTCTCTTCGGTCTCTCGGTGTTCGTCATTATGTGGAACGAGAGCTCCGCGGGCGGTGGAGGTGGATTTCTGGACGACAGCACCACGCAGGCCGGTACCGCCAAGAAAACAAACAATGAGAAGAGCATCGTCCCCGTGCTGATAAAACACATCACGTCCACCACGGGAGACCTGCAGATCGCCGGCAGAACCGTGAATATTCTGTCGATCGTCGGAATCGTACGTCACATCGAGCAGGACACGACAAAAATCTCGTACACTATCCAGGATGACACAGGTATTTTGGTTATGTTGTTTCGATCTCGCGCGTAAAATTAACGTATTTATGTATGTACAATAACGCAACGTCACAAAAGGTTTCGATAAACCGATATCTCGTGTTTTCAATAAATTCACACACTTGTGTATGACGAAAATATCTGTTACACATCAAATTTTTATGTTTTTATACCTATATATCGTTTATTTGTTACAACATAATTTAAAAAATAAAAAGTTTTTCAGAAAATGAGTTCTGAATCATTAAAATTTTGTAGTATTAATTTTGAAATGCAATTTTAGTGTAACAACTGATTTTAAGGGAATAAAAGTGTATCTTTTGTGGTCTTTTTAATTTGTATGTATTTTTTCTGTAAATTATATTGAGTTATGTTGAGTTGTTATAAATAAGCAATACATTTGAACCATTTCTTTTATGGAAAACATTGTAACTTTATATGTATGTGAAAATTAAATATGCAACATAAAATTTTTGTATAATTAGAAAATCTCAGAAACGTGTGTAATATAATTTGTACATTGTTAAAAATGTTTCAAGCTACTTTTATTGGGGGAGCAAAGGATTTACTTAGATTTGATTTTGTTTAACAGGTACCCTTACAGCTGTCATGTGGCTAGAAGCAGATAAGAATCCTGCGGAAAGTAACAATGATATACAAGTTAACACATACGTGCGAGTTCACGGGCTGATTCGTGCACAAAATAACAAACGAAATGTCTTGATCCTACGTATGCATCCTCTGGAGGACTTGAACGAACTGACGTGCCACTTTATGGAGGTCATGTGTTTCATATTGACGGCCAGCAAACCCACGGAAGAGTCCTTACCACCTACCAACAATTCATTGATGGTTGACAGTACGATGAGTGGAATGTCGCCTGAGCAAATAGCGGTTCTCGAGGTTGTTCGATCAGCGAACGATTCTGAGTGCGGCATCGAGAAACGGAATATTCTGGCGCAAATACCGAAACAAATTGTATCCCGTCTAGATGAGATCCTAGACTTTCTCCTCTCCGAAGGACATATTTATACAACCAGTTCAGAGGATTTCTTTAAAGCTACCTGAGTCACGAATTGCCTCTAAAAAATTCGATATATTTAAGGATTACGATCTACATTTATATTAAATAAGAAACAACGCACGTACATTCATGTTACTTCATGTTTATTGTAATTTATTCTCACTGTTGATCTTATGTTAGCTATTAAGAAAAGTAATACTTTTTCCTTGGCATAAAGAGAATAAAGCAAATGATACTTTTGTCTCGAATATATATCAATGTATTTTCGTTAAGCTTAAAGGTATATTTAAATAATAAAGCGTTCATATATAATAAAAAATATGTATAAAAGTATCTTTAAGTTTTTGAAATTGTCATAAATGTTTAATGCTGAGGTATGCCCCTACAAATTTCATGAAACTTTATCTGGCATTTATACCTACTTGGATAATTAGGACATATAATATCAGCTTTAAAAAACTTTCCTTTAATTCCTTAATTAAGCTCTGACAAACCAAATCATATATGAAATGAGAATTGGGCTCGAACTCTGTGTCGATTATAAATGGACCATTTCTATGTGGAGCCATGCATTATCCCTTGGATTTTAGCAATTTTTTTTGTGAATTTCTAAACCTTATAATTTAAAAAGTTTTAACCTTTTCTTAAAATAAATATATTTGTAATATATTTACATTAAATTTTTTTTAATTTTATTTGTAAATATTGTAAATATTAAATTTACAAACATTACCTATCGAAACAAATAATATAGTTACAAAACTTTTGCAATATACAATTGAATGAGCAATTGCCCTCGTTAATTACTAATTAGCCATTTAATATTATATACAATTTTTTAATTAGTCCAATTTATGTATAAAAACAAACAATAATTAAAAATATAAAAATGTGAGTGTGTTCGTTAGTGTTCCTTTTCAACTACGTTCGGAAACATCACCCGAATGCTCTCGTGTATCATATTCTTATTCACCGAGTGTTAAACAAGGATAAAATAATACACGGGACTACGGGAGCATTTGGGTGAAATTTCCGAACATAACCTTTACTACGAATGTGAGAGTAGTCTACCATCTTGCTTAATTTCGCTATCGATGTCTATTGTTTGAAACTTTCAAACATCGTTTTTTGACAGAAGCACTGCTCAGTCTAGCGATATTTTTGCAAAAATAACGAAAAATGAATATCTGAATCGAGATAATAACGGAATTCAAATTTTCTATTTTCGGCTGGCGTTAAATTTTTCCCCCGAGTTTTATGCGTGCACCTCACAATTTGCTACTATGAACGACGCGGACGATGTTATGACAAGTATATACGATATCTTGCTGCACTTACGATATCCACACATCACTAACGCGGAGTCAAAGGACTTGGAGGCGACGATTCTCAGCGGCGAAAATCGAGTGTGTCTACTTTCCTGGCTCCTGACAGAGAAATCGCCGGCAATTGTCGCCCATTTGGAAAAGTTGAAGAATGCTGCTTTGGAAGGTAATTCCTATTTTGTCGGTCGTGCAATTTGTATTCAACAGCAAATCTGGAAATTATATTTTCAATTATCAATGAGTTTATATGTACAGTAAAAAAAAATGATATATTTAAAAACAAGAAATATTAACGTATTGAAATGTCTATACATGTGTTTTTAGATCAGTTGTTCGAGTATTACTCTCAGATTGGAATTTGCAGCAACAAGGATGTATTACTGGTTTGTTTGTAAAATATTCTATTATGCTGTATAGTTATTATTGACATTGATTTTATATTGATAATCAATTATTTTATTAGGGTAAATGTTCCCTGAAGGAGCAACTGCCAACTTTAAGATTATTGCTAGACTTTATGAGAAAGGTATACGCGAAACCTATTGCAAGTACAAATGAGGCAGAAGAACTTACGGATATTATTAAGGTACGTTAAGGTATGGTTAATATTTAACAATATTAAATATATTATTTTCTTGAATTAATATATTAGTAATATAAAGTAAAAAATATTTTTTCAACATATATTTTTAGTTATGCGTTGATGCTGACCAAACATCCTCTCTTTCTGTCGTTAAACCAAAAATAAGTTATGCAGAAGCTATTAAATACTTTGAAAAAAGCGAGAGAGAAACGTTGAATAATGATTGCGAAGAAATTAGAACCAACTTGCCCGATGGCTTGCCCGATGTAGAGGTATAACAGGATTTTTTAAAATAAAATTTTAAACAATTATATAAATTACTGATATTTTATACAAAAATTTATATAGACTGATGATAGACTGATTAACGAAGAACAGGATGAATTATTTGACAAAGAGAAAGAGAAGTTTGTGGAAGCGTTTCATACAGTTTCATCTTGGCCAATGAAAGTCAGGAATTTAGACAAAGATGTGTCTGATTCTATTTGTTCGAACATTAAGAGTATATGCTCCGATTTTTCCTCTTTGAAAAAGGTACGAGTCTTAGTCACTATTTATTGTTTGATATAATTTTCACGAGTTTCAAAATACGTCTTTGATTACAGATACTGCAAGCGAAAGAAGAGATATCGAATGTAAAATTAGCGAAGGAATTGCCGAAGACTGTCGCACCTTTAAATGCAATTATAGAAGATATAGTAATTTGTAACGAGGAATTTATGAATCTGCAATAGCATTGAATAATCTGATTTATGTAATGTAAGAACGGAATTGTCTATAATTTATATAATTGTACCACAAACGTGTCATAGATATTATTAATTTAGGAGGGAGACGTTTTGATAAATAAGAATGAAATAAAATAATTATGTAAGTTTTTAACTTATGTGTTTATATTTGTCAAATACATTTCTGATTGCCGATAATTTTAAGATCTAGGTCGCTCCTTCTTCTCCTTGTAAAGAGCAAGTAGGGAAACGTTCGCGACCTTCACCACCTTGAATCGCACTCCAGGAATATCACCGACGGCGTGGCCTTTACGACCGAAACCTGCCACTAGAACCTCGTCGTTTTCCTCGATGTTGTTGAGACAACCGTCCCTCGGCACGAAGGCTGTTATCTTCTTTCCGTTCTTAATGAGTTGCACCCTGACGCACTTACGAATGGCAGAGTTCGGCTGTTTGGCCTCCACTCCTCTGTTGAGTAATGAAACACCAATAAGTCATCGCTTGACGGAGCAAACGAGACGCAAACGTTACTGAAAC